GCACGTTGCCCTTTGGGGCACAACTTTGGCGAGAGTCGCCCGAAAAAGAGCTGGATCGCAAGAAAGGGAATCAGGAAGTTCACCAGCACGCAGTAGCTTGTCCTTCTGGATGTGGCTCAAGCGTAACGCATTCCCGCCGTTGTGCCTCATGATGCTCTGCATGATAAGCTGGATGGAGAGGAACGTTTTGTTCAGCGTAGTGGTAGTAGTAGACGCAAACGTCATCTCCACTTCCGATATGAGGTCTTCGGCTGTTCTTGGGACCGTCACCGATGCGGTATTTTACTGGACTGGTCACAAATGCGGCGTATCTGACCATATACGTGAACTTGTCGCTTCTATCAAAATGGTGTGCAGGTGGCATCAACGAATGGGACTGGATTCGGTTGGTAAGAGATGCTACCAAGCTAAAATAGGGGAGAAGTTAGGGGGCTTCCTTATTTTAATGGACGATGCTACCGACCATGTATCGATCCAGTATTCGTGGGAACTACTAGAGCCACTAGACAAAAAAAATGCTAACCCCACTAGACAGTACCAAAAACATATCACACGTGTTGGTTGCAGTAGATATAAATAAATTACTCTTCTCGTACTTGAACTGTCAGTCAAGCATCTCGCTTCAATACGGCGAAGATCCTTGGATGCTGTCACAATGAAAGCACACGAACTACCTGCTGTAAACGATTTCATGGCTGAGGTCGCAAAAAGACGTTACGTGCAGGCGACTATATATTGTACCATTCACCAGGCTATGGGGGCACAGACAGAGGTGGCTCATGGTTTAAGCTCGCATACTGGCCAATGACCCTGATGGCGATCGATACTCGACACAGGAGACGTACGGATTACAACATGGAAGATTAGATCCGACAAAGACCCTCAAGGGCAACGACATCTACGCAACATTCGCCCTTTCGAGCTCGTTAAAAGTTCAACTTCCGCTCCAACACGTCGCGAGCAGTTCGCAGAAGCAATTCGCGATATTCCAGATAAAATAATGACAGAATTAAAGAGAAAGAGGCACACAAAACGTTTGGAATACTTGTCTAACCACAACATGAGCCATGGCGATTTATCCTCTGGTTCGGACTCCAGCTCTGAAACTGGTGCGGCTAGTGCTCAAGAAACGCCCTGTCCTCAAT